TCTCTCTCTCTCTCTCTCTCTCTCTCTCTCTCTCTCTCTCTGCGGACCCTTAAGGTCAGAGGAGTCGTCACAGCCCACAAAGAAAAAGGTATTTCTGTCTCTTGTGTGGTTATTTCGCACAGCCCAATTAGCCCAGTTCCCCTGGAGTGACCCCTGAGTGTTTAAGTCTCGAGCAACCCGGCAGTTGGCCCTCAGTATCCTCAGGTTGTGCACCCACAGATCCAACCAACCATGGATCGAAAATATTTTTTTAATTGTCTGAATATGTATAAACTTGTTTCTTGTTATTATTCCCTAAACAATATGGTATAACTACTCTTTACATAACATTTATATTATATTTATATCATATTGTCCATTATAAGTAATTTTGACATGATTTGAGGTATAAAACAGCACACATGTAGATTATATACAAATACTATGCCATTTTATATCAGGATTTGAGCATCCATAGATTTTGGTACTAGAACCAATCCCCCACAGATATAAGTGGCAGCTGTATAAAACATCCAATGTGGTTACCTAGAGCCTATTTCAAAAAGAAACTGATCCGCCCAGTATTAGTTTGTTTAAACTTTAAGATTTATTACTATTAACTCTCAAATGGTTCTATGGTTATCTATATGTAGCTACTTACAACAGAGTGCTACTGTGGTACTGGTTCCCTTTATGATTCTCACGGTAGCTGGTGAGCTATCAAATAAATTGGTCTTTCTCTACCAAAAGGCACAATCTTTACCATAGGCAACCACCTTACAAGGTGTGGGGCTAGAAGAGTGTGGATGACTCTGAAAGTCCATCAAAACCAAGGCAAAGCAGCTAAATCACAGTCCTATGGACAAAGGTAGGCAAATGTTTATACCCAGCAAGAAAAACTCCTCTCTTGCTGGCTTTGACTAGATAATTAGGCTATAGAAGGCTTTAAGGAAATTTCGAGAGCACCTAAATCTCTCTGTGATACCAAACTCATACCTTAAAGCCCTGGATCTTGTCTCTTGTCCTTTCAAATGTAAAATTTTCTTTTATTAGAAAGCAGGAAAATCCACATATCTCATTATGAATGTGTATTAACTTTCTATAGAATCTAAATCCACTAAACAAGATGACTTAACAGTTTTGCCCCAAGGCTAGTTTGGAGTGAATCAAAAACAAAAGCTGAGATTTCTGACTGAGAAATCTGACTTGTAGCTTTTTGCCTCAAAGCTAGGCTCACCCTGTCTTGATGGAGGGCAACTCCTTATACCAGGTGAGACAAGTCCCAGCACTCTGAGCTTGTGCAAGGCAATTCTAAGGGAAGTGCCAGGTCATGCTGCCTGTGGAGCTGCGCCAGGCTGGGGGTTTACTGTCCTCACATGTGGAAATAGCACACAGGGGCTGTTAGCCCCTGCTCTCCCCCTTCCCTCTGGGGTCTCACCACCTTCTCTTTTATCTGTGCTTTTGTCTTAATAAATTTTACTCTGGGTACTATCTTCAGCTTCAGAAAAAAATGTGGCTAATCCTTTCTGAGCTTCATCTTGAGACATTTATAAACTTGTATTCTCATTCCATATTTGTGAATTCTAGTACAAATAACACCCTATTTATTATTTTTGCATTTAATAATGTGTATTTATAGTCATTCTTGAACTGCAGGGGGGTGATTATTATAAAGGATTATGGGTAGTCTTGGGAATGGTCAGGTTTGGGTAGATAAGAGCTTTTTAATGTTAATGTGTGCCAACTCTAGTGGTTAACGAACTACATCTATGTCTAAGTCTATAAGTGAGATTAAATTCTCATTTTTCTCTTAATGGAATTAAAAATTTTTACCATGATGCTTATAAAATCCTTTCAACAGATGAATTTTTTTTAAAATGATAGTTCTTCAGCACTATTGTTTATTCAGGTAAGTAGACTCAATTAATTAACCCTCCTTTATCCTCACTGGATTTTCTATACTTAGGTGTAAAATTCTTTTTACACATAGAACATATCTATTTCAATGAATTTCTGTCAATGGGCAATCAGGACTATCCCATGCACATGTGGACATACAGCAAATCTTCCTTAGGAGGAAGAGGACACTGGTCCATGCCTTGGGGGAACTGACTACTTGCCAGGTAGTGTTCTAAGAGCTATAAATGGAATCAAGCTCTTCAATTTTCATGAATATTATTATTAACCCTATTTTACAGAGCAGGAGGACACTGAGTAATCTATGGAAGTCACAAAGCTTGGAAGTGGCCAGGAATAAAAAGAGAATAAAAAATGGCCAGAAACACATTTTCATTTCTTTAATTATTTCCTCATCAACTAAGCTGGTTCCTCAGTAAAGACTTATATTCCCCACAAATATAATTTCCCCAAGTTTAATAATAGTAAAGCAAAAAATGAGAGCAGAATCCTTCTGTTGACTCTCAAGACTTTCCAAAAACCATGTTATCCCCTTAGCAAATGGATTTTGCAAAAATAAAAAATATATATTTTAAAATTTCTCTATGAAGACATGATGGAAACATATGTAATCTATGATCATGAGCAATTAAAATCTGACAGCGAGTCTTGTTTTTAAGTATAAAACATAAAATAAAAATCACCCATAGCCCCACCATGCATAAATCACTACTCACCATCCAGTCTTTTCTTCTGTTTTTTAAAAATGTAGTAAATAGGCTGGCTTTGAAAACAGATTTTATTTGGATAATTTATTCAAGATATTTTTCCCCTTGTCTGGGGTGGGAGGATCCTATTGTCTTCCTGCCTTCCCTCAATGTAGTCCTTCAAAGGAAACTGAAATCATTGATAGAAAAATCAAATGAAACTTTGGCCACTCCACTGCTTCTTTTCCTATTTGAAAAACATATACTCTGATTCAAATTAAAGATTAGCAAAACTCTCCATAATTAGCATGCATTCCCTTATTTCCAAAGATGACTTAGCTATTCTTGATGACTAGTCCTTACAAGGGTACCTGCAATGAAAGGGTCAAGTTTAAGACTTCTCTAAATCTCTGCTCTCCGTCTCTGTTAATGTCCTTCCTGGTGTTAGACATTTGTTTAATGATCAATAGTGGTTTCTATTCCTACAGCTGTGTTTTTCAGAGAGTAGCATAACCAAGTCAATGTTTAACTGGATTCTTTGACTCTGGAATGGCAATGCAGGAGGTAAAGGGAAGTCTCCATGGAAACCAACCTTCTGGGAAGTAGCCAGGGGGTTAGTATGTGGTGAAACAGAGCAAGAGAGATGTTGTGAGGGAAACCACTACTTTCTAAAGCTGGGGTCAGCTTCCAAAATATCTTTTTTTTTTTTTTTTTTTTTGGTACTAGGGATTGAACTCAGGGGCACTTAACCACTGAACCATATCCCCAGCCCTTTTTTTGTATTTTCCTTAGAGACAGAGACTCACCAAGTGGCTTAGGGTCTCCCAAACTGCTGGGATTCTGAAATATCTTAATTAAAACAAACTACGTTAAAGACCCCCAAACTACCTCCAGCATGGTTTTCCTTTGAATCTCTTTCATGGGAAATGGGCCGGAGTCACTCTAAGGCTCACTCTCGGGTCACCAAAGTAGCCCCTCTGGAAAACAAAGGAGCAGACACTCCTTCAGTTGGCCCTATGGATTTTGCATTTAATCAGAACCTAAAAGAAAAGAGCTCATATTCGTTGGCAAGACTACAGGACCGGAATGAAATTCTGAATGGCCAGCTGCCACCTCTGCGAGAAACCTGGTATGGAAGATATTCTACAGGTAAATGCAAAACTCAGCATGGGATTTATGTATCGGGACCTAATAGAGCTGTCGATAGATTGACCCATCTCCGTGATCTCAGCAATTCTCTAATTTATTGAGATGTAAGGAAATATGTGGGGATTGAACATTTGTCAGTTGAAGTAGGAATTGAATGTCTGTCAATCAAAGGTATTCTGGCACCTTAGAATGGGAATATAAACTATGTACAAAGGCATTTTTAACATTCCAAATGAGAAGGAAAATCATTTTGTTTCAGCTTAGTTTATAGTGCTTTCCATGTTTGTACTGAGCTTTGCCAGATCATTAAAATTATAAAGGCACTGATGTAATGAATGATAACAATCATGTATTTCAGTTAGATTCTAAATTTAAATCATCATCTCCAATACAGTTTAATGCATCAGGCTTTGTGGTTTTGAAAGCAGCACTTTAGGAGTGAATCTTCTCTAATGTGACTTTTGAAAACACCCCAAACAAAATTGATTTATTGTAGAACAGATGAGTGGATGAGTCACCCCTTCTCTTCATGGTCATCTTCAGGGGAAATAATTTTTTCCATTTGATTGGAAGCTCTCAGCCTGAAGTGGCTATAAATTATTCTGTGATATTTTATAAGACATGTAAAATATGTTGTGATGATCATCGAGATAATGAAACAGATATTCTAACTTGGGAAGAGAAATATGTTTGTAAAGTATATGTAAGTATATATGTATGGAATTTTCTCTTTTCTTCTCATCCTGGATCAGACACACAAGTAAGCTCCCCTTACTGGAAGTCTTGATCAGAATGCCTGCATTCTCTTTTGGAACCTAGCAGAACTTGCCCACAATGATTTGCATGAGTGTCTTCTGTAGAATTGACAATGTTAAGTAGTTCTATACAGCCTATTTTATTTGTTCTCCAACTTCTTTAATATCTGAATGGGAATTTTCCCCTTAGTTGCACTGAAAGATTCTTTTTTTTTTTTTTATCCAAACTCTTTATCCAGAGTTTTAAGATTTTTGTTAACTGGATAGTGAAAGCTGATTTTAGTGCTTTAGAGTTCCAACTGGAAATTTTTATTTTTGAGAAGACAAAATCTCATTGAATATAAATAACAAGGCATTAGTGAGCATGCTGCAGGCTAATCCCAGTTCCACCAAATACCAAACCAGACCATCTTGAACGAGTCACTTCATCAATTTTCTTCACCTATAATCAGGGGTGAAAACAACATGCCATATTGGGAAAAATCTAACTAAATAATGGGGTTATATCTTTCAAATCACAGTATAAAAATAAGAAGTAGTCAGACTTCTGAAAAAATTTTGCCAAAAATATTTACACTTTTAAATCCAATGTTTTGTTGTCGTTTCTGTACTCTCGATGTGGTTTCATCATTGAAAGAAAATACATCATTTTCAAACTACTAAAAGTTAGAGCAAAGTCATTAAAGTGGTCATTAAAAGTCTTAAGGATGGAGATGCATAATACTCCTGGAATTTTCCATTTCAAATGTGAAGTGAGAGTATAGGATGGTCTATTTAACAATCTAGAAATCAGATGCATCCATATTGCCAAGGGAAAGGACAAGGATTTCACTCGTGCTGTTTGGTCTTGGCAACAGTACAAGAGCCCAGGATTATAAAATTCACAATAGACCTATTGAGCCTCCCTGTTTCCTAGCAGAGGCTTAACTCTGTAGCCCTGGTTTGTTTTCTCAGGAAAGAATGTCAATATGTTGTATTACAGTAGCAACTTGGAATTTCCCTGGTTTGAGAGAAACTATTTAATTGTGATCATACAAGGCTAAGCATTGCATACTCTTATTGGAAGCTCATATTCTAATTCTGAGTCACCTTTCTCTGCATCTAATCACCTATTACCTATTTCGAGTTCCAAAAGATAGATAAGATAGATTTTTTTCATTTGTTAAATATATTTTTTCTGATTTCTTGTATTTTGGGGAGGAGATTCATGGAACTAAAACAAATAAGTGAGTTTCTATGACTTTCCATTACATAGGCCAAATTCTGTGTTTCAGTTGCATTTGTAGTCCATGCATTGTTAATTTTGCAGATCTTCCTCTAAATATCTATCAGAGAAGGAAATGATGAAATCAGAAATTAGACTAAAATTTTATCATTCACATTCAAGTAGGGACCCTGTTCCATGTGTTTCATCTCCACATTCAATCTATGGGTTAAACGTATATAACTGAAAAGGTACAAAATTATGTTAACAAGTCTAAAAACTAAGGATCATCTTTCTAATTTAATGGTAAATTGTTTTAATGGCTTATTCTCATTTCTCCCCTAATTCTTCAAGCACCCAGGGCCATGTATTTTGACATCCCACTGGAACGGGGAGAAACAAGTATTATTAAAAGGCATCCACCTCGAAGACTTGAAGTAAGATGAATTTAAGAGGCTTCATAAAGAATTTCTTGGATTAAATAGTAATATCTCTTTTTAACTATCTTCATAAAAGAAGGATATTGACTAACATTAATAAGAATATTTTTAAAGATAATTTTGCCAATTGCAAGGACCAATCTACTTAGGATTTCCTTTGTAATGATTTCATTTCCAAAAGGAGCAAGTATACTAATAAGTACATGGGTAGGGGGACTTCGGGGCCTGAATCTAGCACTGACTCATTGTGTCTCTGGGAAATTATAATAAATAACAAAAACAATGACTACCACTACTATTCAATTACCACCCTTCTACAAGTCTGATACTATTCTAGACAACTTAATCTATGGCATTCATTTAATCCGCTAAACCTCCTATTAGAAAGGAAGTCTTGCCCTTATTTTATACATGTGGTCAGAGAGCTAAGTAACTTGCCCAGGGACACACAGAGACTGAATACCAGCCAGATATCAAAGTCCTTACTCCTAATCATCAGTCCAAATGATCTCTACAACTTCTAACTTTAACTTTATTTTCCCAGAAAATAAACTAGTTGTTGAAATTAGGAACATTAAATCTCAACAAAGCAAAAGCATCAAATGTATTCACCTTAATAAATGTTTAATAGATTCCCTTTAGAGGGATACAAATTCTAAGAGCGACAAAATCCAAAAAGTATCATCCTAGAAAGGGAAAGAGATCAGAGTGGGTCCTTGAAAATGAGCAACAGCTAAAAGGAGGGTTTGGGGCTCTCTCATGAGCAGGATCTACCATTGACATTTGAGAAACGGGATTATAGCCAAATCCCACCTGCTACATAATTCACCCAGATGCCTGGGCTATCCCCAGGGGTATAGAAGCTTATTTTTGAGAATTATTTCTGTTTCAGTAGGTTTTTATTTGTCTTCTCCAGAAGCTCAAAATTATCATTTGAAATGATTATAGGCTTTCATTCAAAAAGAGCATCTTTTCCAAAATTATTAGAAAATATTCCAAAATATTAAAAACCTCAAAAATATTGTTTAGCTCAAGAAAAATAAAGTATAAATGTAATGAATTAATATCTAATTTCAAAGTTTTTGAGCATATCTATGGATAAACTGAATAACTTTAAGACTTGTTTTATTCCTAAACCAAAGTTTCCTTTCAATGGAGTGTGTTTAATATGTCTCTGTGAAGCTGACTAACTCAAACAGAAGAAATTATAGCCAGTGAAAAACATCTGTGTAGCACTGTATAGTCCACAAAGTATTTTTATTATCTATCAAACCTATGGAAGACAAGGTCAGGTTTGGGTTCTCCCAATAGTCCATCAAGCTCAAAAGAGGACTTTGATATTTCAGCATCTAATACTACACCCCACACACTAACCAACCACCTTAAAATTAAAGTCAAGAAAAATATATGGGCTCAGTGTTAGATACTTGTCATCCTAGCACCTTGGGAGGCTGGCTGAGGCAAAAGGACTGCAAGTTCAAAGCCAGTGTTTTAGTCGGCTTTTTTGCTGCTGTGATTGAAAGACCTGACCAGAACAGTTGTAGAGGAGAAGAAGTTTATTTGAGGGCTCACGATTTCAGAGATCTCAGTCCATAGACAGCGACTCTATTTCTCAGGATTCAAGTGAGACTGAACATCATGGTGGAAGAGTGAGGTGGAAGCAAGCGACTCACATGATGTGAGAAAGCAGAGAGGTGTCTCCACTTACCATATATAAAACATATGCCTCAAAGCCACGCCCCCAATGACCCAACTTCTCCAGCCACACCCCATCTGCCTTCAATTACCACTCAGTTAACCCTATCAGGGAATTGATTTACTGATTGGTTTAAAACTCTCATAACCCGATTATTTCTCCTGTAAACCCTCTTGCATTGTCTCACACCTAAGCTTTGGGAGATACCTCACATCCAAACCATTACAGCCAGCTTCAGCAACTTAGCAAGGCCATAAGCAATTTAGTAAGATCCTGTCTCAAAATAAAAAATTTTTAAAAACTGGGCATGTACTTAGTCATTAAGCACCCCTGGATTTAATCCCTGGCACCAAAGAAAGAAAGAAAGAAGGAAGAGAAAGGAAGGAAGAAAGGAAGAATGGATAGAATATGTGAGTACAAAGGCTATGTCTCATTTAATCATATATCTTCAGCCACTAACATTGTGTGCCACAGAAAAGTCAGTTGGTGAATGAATGAACATCATGTCGGCTGGGGGAAAAAACTCAAAGTGCACTCCCTGCTACTACAGACCTGGAGCATCCCTGTATTAGAATCTGCCTACCCAGAGCAACCAATATGGTTAATATAAAGGTAGAGGAATGTTTTATTGAACCTCAGAGCAGGGAGACACCTGTCGGCAACTGAAAGGCAGAACTCTCCAAGTTTCTCCCCCAAGCTCTCTTCTGTCTGTGTGCTTAATGCCTCTGCAGATCATCCTTCTCTGCTCCTCGGGTGCACTTGATGAAATATGGGCACCCTGGGATTGCATCTTATAGTTCCAGTCAAATGGACAGATTGACCTGATCCTCTTGGCTCTGATTCCAAATTCCTGGGAGGCAAGATATGACTGGCTAAGCTTTGCTCATGATTCGAGCTCTGATCCAGTGAGTTATAAGCAGAGGACATGTTCATGCAGTAGAAATGTGGGTGGAAGAGTCACCCTCTAGATTCTGGAATCAGCTCCCAGAAAGAGGGAAATCACTAGGAACTTGGCAGACACTCCCAAAGATATCAGCTATAATTATCTTCACAAATGAGGCTCAGCACATTTTCCACCACAAATGGGTTTTTGAGAGAATAATAAATGCTGGGTTCCCATGACATGCTAATTAATAGCCTAATCTCTGCCCAAAAAAAATTTCTAAAAGTATTTTTAATTATTAAACCAAATATAATTGCATCCTAAATAATTTGAGCTGTGTATTTGGCACTCTCCATTTCCTGAACATCTACTCCTCAAGGATAGAGCAGGTCATGAACTAAGGTTCCTCAACTTGGAACTGAGCTCTGAGAGCCTCTGCCAGGACAGTGAATCAAATGTGCCTGCCCCATGGAGAAGAGTTGATCAGCAGCACCCCCTCTGGTCTGATTAGCTTCTCCTGCAAACGTCTAAAATCCAGCCTAAGTTGGGAAGTTGCTCCCACATGTGCTACATCCCCCGATGATTTGCTTGGATAATTCCCTCACCTCCAAGGATTTGTTCAAATGTCACCATCTTCAGAAGGCCTACCCTCCTGACCAATTTACTGACAATAGCAACCCTCCTCCAATCCTCGTGATTCCCTCCGTCCTTCACTGTCTTGTCTTTTCCCCAGCACGCCTATTTCCATCTAATACACCAAACACATTATTTACCTATTATGTTCATCTTGTATTTTCTTCACTGCTCCCTTATCTCTCTCATGCTAGAATACAACCTTCATAGAGCCAGGGATTTTATTTTTCTGCTGTTACTAATGTATCTGAATATCTAGAAGGGTGCCTGGCACATAACACATGGTCAGTAAGGATGTTTTGGTTATTGAATGATTGAATTGGAGACGAAAGAATGACGAGTGTAAATCTGCTGGTGAGGAATAAGAAGGATGGTTCTGCCTTGGATGGTTTCAACGTTGTTTTTGGCCTTAGACAATATTGAGTCTACTGAACCGCGAACGTGACATAGACCTTCATTTACTCAGATTTCCTTTTAGCTCTTTCAATAGCGTTTCATGATTTCTCCATGGGAGTCTTGTGCAATTTTTAAAGTTTGTTTCTAGGCGCTTGTAACAGTTAGGGTTCAACCAGAGAAGCAGAACCAGCAGAAGAAGTTATCTATTAATAGACTTACAGCAAGGAATTGGATTATGTGATTGTGGAGTCTGGCAAGGCAAATCCAATAACTACAGGGCAGGAAGGGCAGGCTGGAACTCTCAGGCAGAAGCTGAAGCTGCTGTCCACTGGCAGAATTTCTTCTTCAAGGTAGCTTTAGTTTTATTCTTAAGACTTCTCAATTGGCTCGGTAAGGACTGCAGTGAGAACCTTTCAGAGCTATCCATTCTCACGTGTTCAGGCCTCCAGCCGGCAGCTGCTCTTTCCTGTTGGATGAGCGCTGAGCCCTTTGTGAGGAAAACATGTCAATGAGAAACAGAAATTTTACATGGAATCTAGTGACTCTAGAAGTTTTCAGATCTGTGAAAAATCTAATATGACTTTTTCCTTTCTTTCTCTCCTCAGTTTAAACCATTCTCTTCATTCTCAGTTTGCAGGAGAAATCTTAACCACAGGTTGTTCCTGACTTTTCTGTCCCTAACTCACCAGAATCCTGGGGATCCTTGGGGACGTTTTCTGTAGCACCTTCTCCCTCCATACTCTGACAATGCTCTCCTGAATAGGACTCCTCACACACAGAAACAAAAGCTGTGAGGTGGGGCTAATTTTTTATAGGTTCCACTAAGTCATCCCAGAGCCAGCCAGGGGCTGCTATGCAGCTGGCTGACTTGGTATGATGACTTGCTGTCCAGGTACTGTCAGATCCTCAAGGCCATTTACTGCAGACAACACCTGCAGAGATGGGTCCCTCCCTGTGTGTCTCCCCTAAATGGCAGAACTCCCCAAGGCTTATCCTGGCCAATGAGAATACACCATAGGGAAATAGATTCCATTTAACCAGTCAGTGGCTCTTCTATAACCAGCCCATCAGTCAGTGGTAGAAGAGGCAAGGAGAGAAAGGAAGGTGTCATTTAATCAGAACACATTTCTAGAGGTATAGTAACAAGCAGGGGGAATTATATATTGTCAAAGTGAGATTTTCAAAATGAAATTGTCAAAGCCTTTGTATTAGAGGTCTGCAAAACTCTACAGAAACCTTTAAAACTACCTTATATATACTGCAAAGTGCCACTTCACTCACTGATAGTGATACAAAGGACTTGTCAGGGACACACAGTAGTCCCCATTTATCATCACAAGAAATCTCTATGAATTATGATGGCTTAAGATCTCACTCAGTCCATATAAA